AGCCCAGCCAGGGGGAGTTCCCTAGTCCTCTGCACTCCATATCCCCCACCCACCCATCTAGTTGCTCCTCCAGGTTGGGACACACATAGCCATAGGTAAACTGGGGTTTCCTGTAGCCCCCTGCCTGTCCTCACCCCACTGAAAGCCATTGGTAGAAGTTCAGGGAACTGTGGGGGTGCAGCCTGGCTGACCCCACAACATGGGTACTCAAATCTCAGGTGTCCACAGAGTCTGCCCTCTAGAGGGGCTGCCCAGCAACCCCCGTCCTGGGGAAATAAGGTGCTGTAGTTTTGAGAGGAGACCTTGGGGTTTTGGGCAGCAGGTTGGTGGGGGATCATGAAGGTCCGCCTGCTCACCTTGGGGCCAAGTGGTGGGCAGGTGGGGAACAAATTATTTATTGTCCTCTTGACTGCTGGCATTGGGAGCCAGGCTCCCCCCTAGCTGGGTGAGCACATATGTGAGAGATGGTGGGTGGCTGGTATGTGGGGTCTCCACTGGGGTAAGGAGTTTAGCCTTTGTGGCTTTCTGTCTCAGACAATCTTCTAAAGGACCCTTGTGGTCATTGGACCATGAGTTCAGGGCTCTGCCTGGCCCTTCATGTTCCTGTACCTCCTGGGTGCCTGGAAGAGGGTAGCCTTGAACTCCAGGACTGGAAACAGGAGCCCTGACTCCAGGGCCTCCTGGATAGCTAGCTCGTTTTTTGGACCGGATAGAATTATTTTTTCAGGCACCAGTTCCTTGTTCTAGGGGGCCCCTTTGGGTGGCCCTTCATCCTCAGGGGTGTGAGTGGGGGGGGAAAGGTCTCAACTGGGGGTGGGTGGGGATGTATCTCCCAGGAGAATCACCCACAGGTCCTTTTCAGCATCTTTTTGCTGTGGATTTTGGACAAAAGCACCTAAGGTCCGCAACCTGGATGGGATCCAAGAGAAAGCCTAGCTGCCTCCACATGTTGGGTATGGGAGATTCTGGCACCTACATTTGTTCCGGAACCTTCTGTCACATGATTGGGGGGGCTTCGAGTAATGCCACCTTTACCTGGTCAGGGCACCAGCCTTGCGGGGAAGGGTGGCCTTTTGGAGCTGGGCTCAGAGGTGCCTCCTTCCCAGGGGTAATCCATCTGTCCCTTCTTTCTAGACCACAGAAGTGGGGTGCCTTAGTCTGTGGGGTGGGTAGGGGCTAGTGCCTCATTTTCTTCATGTGCTTTGGGCATATCTTCCTTGAGCATTTGCTGGTCACCTGTCACATCTGCTAATGGGGGTAGGTGGGTCCCACGACACTGGCAGGAAACTTGCTGAGCAACCAGAACCTTCTTGGCTCATCCTTCCAACCCTACCCCTTCACGGTCTGGTGTCACTGGGACCTGAGTGCAGCCATCCAGGGGGTTGGCAGCATCTGCAGGGTGTGCAGGGGGGAGCCCTGTGGGATTTATGCTTTGTGTGTGGGGTCGCCTCTCCCCCACTCCACCTGGCTTCTAAACCCTTGTATTTAATTAATTAAAGAAGCCCTTTTTAAAACCCTGCCACAGTGTCTGTCTGATTGATTAATAAGGGAAACTTAGAGACCCCACCAGCATGTTCCTCCTTGCCCCCACCTGCCTCACTTCATCAGCTAAGCCTTGGGGAAACTGAGGCAATTTGCTTCGGTATCCAGTGGTCTTGGCCAGGCCCCCTTGAGGCCCGGGAGGGACTTGATTGCTGTAGCAGGCACACAGAATAGTGTCACCCACGCCTGGTAGCAGCTGCACACCCCCCACCTGCCGCCCTGTACCCTGTTACCCAGCAACCAGAACTCGGTGACTATACCCGGGGGCGTCCGCTGCCCGCCCCCTTCCGGAGTCAGCAGGGGTGGTGGGGGTGGGGACGCGCCCCCAGGACTGCACATGGTGTAGCAAGAATATGCCTAGGACTACTCCCTACCTCGTTGTCCTTGTGTGTTCCATACATAAATGGAACGCCTACTGTATACCAGCTTGCAGTAAGGAAAGGGGCGGGTGCAGAGGGGACGCCGTGGCGGTTGCAGACGCTAAAAATTAAGAGCTTTCAGAAACCCATTAGAGCTTTGATCCTTGTTTGAGAAAAGACACCACATCCCTGGGGTCTGTAGAGCTCCTGGGACTTGAGGCTGGCGTGGGGGCGGAGCCGAGCCTTCCCCTTGCACCTGCTGGGCCCAGGGAGGCACTGGCCTGCCACCTGGTGGCCAATCCCGATACTGTGAGCCCTTGCAAGATGGGGATACCCTCTCACCAGGATCTCCTGGTCTTAGGACCCCCAAGGCCCATGGCTCCTATTCATTTTAGAACAGCTTCCCTAGAGCACGCCCCCCACCCCTTCTGCGTTTATTGCACACTGACCCTAGTCATCCCTGCACCTTTTGGCTGCCCAGTTCCCACATCTTATATACACACAACTAACAGTCCCCCTTCTAGTGCCAGCCTGGCCACCTCCTTCAACCCCAAACCCGTATGGCCTCTGAACCCCCTTAGATGCCCGCTACCACATTCCCATTTGGTCTATTACACAGCTCAAAAATCCCTCAGTCCTGGGCTGTGCAGCTCAGTGGGGAGCATGAGGGCCCGATTCTAACCACTGCACCACAAATACGGTTATATATCCGGAACCCCACCCCTCATTCATTTTATTATTTTTTAATTTATTTATTATTTATTTATTTATGTCTTTTTGAGACAGGGTCTCCCTGTTGCCCCAGCTGTCCTGGAACTGTGTAGACGAGGCTAGCCTTGAACTCACAGAGATCCACCTGCCTTTGCATCTTGAGTGCTGGGACTAAAGGCGTGGCCACCACACCCGGCTCATTTTTTGTTTTATTTTGATGATGCTAACCTTGCACATACCAGGCAGAGGTTCTATCCCGGAACCACACCCCAACCCCTGACTGGGGGATTCTTGGCTGTCACTCTACCCCTGAACCACGCCCCCAGCCCCTCACTGGGGGATTCTAGGCTGTTACTCTGCCTCTGAGCCACGCCCCAGCACCTCAGTGAGGCATTCCAGGCAGCTGCCACTAGAAACGAACACCCTAGCCCTATCGCCCTATCTTCTGCTTTGTTCCAATCCAAGGTTTTTTTGAGACAGGGTCTCCCTGTAGCCCCAGCTGGCCTGGAACTCACTATGTAGACCAGGCAGGCCTCGAACTCACAGAGATCCGCCTGTCTCTGCCTCCCTAGTGCTGGGATCAAAGGCGTGCGCCACCATGCCCGGCTTGTTTTCCTTTTTAAAAATTTTTTAATATTTAAAAATATTTTGTGCCAGGTGTGGTGGCGCACGCCTTTGATCCCAGCACTAGGGAGGCAGAGGCAGGCGGATCTCTGTGAGTTCGAGGCCAGCTTGGGCTCCATAGCGAATCCAGGCCAGCTGGGGCTACAGGGAGACCCTGTCAAAATAGAAAAAAAAAATCTTTTTTGTATCTTACGTCAGGGTTTTGTTTTCATTGTGATGAATTTCCCACACCATTATCATGATCTGATTCCAATCACAGAGCACTCTATGCCAAAAGTAAACCTTCAGCATGAGCCTTTCATTTCACCCCCTTTTCCAGCCTCCGTGAATCCACTTCCTGTTTCTGGATTCACCTGCTCTGGCTATTTCCTGTCATGGAGTCCTACACTGTGAGGCTGTTTGTGTCTGGTTCTCTCACTGAGGCCCGTGTCCTTCAGGTCCCTCCACAGCTGTGACTTTTTTCATAGTCTTGCTCCTGTTCAGGACTGTGTAATATTCCAGGGTGTGGATGGCCCTGCTGTGTGTCCATCATCCATTCCTCCACGGACTGTGCATTTTGATTAAGTGCTGATATGAACACTCAGATTCAAGTCTCTGTGTGGAAGTGTTTTTTTTGTTTTGTTTTGTTTTGTTTTCCTTTTTGGTCTTTTTGAGACAGGGTCTCCCTGTAGCCCCAGCTGTCTTGGAACTCACTATGTAGGCAACAGGCTGGCTTTGAACTCACAGAGATCCACCTGCTTCTGCCTCCCGAGTGCTGGGATTAAAGGCGTGCACCACCACGCCCGGTGGAAGTGTGATTTTAAGTCTCTGGTGTAGACCCCTAAGGGTCTACTTGCAAGGACTCAGTGGTAATGCTCCATCTCCTTTTCTGAGCTTACTCCACAGAGCCCCCACAGGGTTTCACGTAGCTCAGGCTGGACTCAAACTATGTAACAGGATGTCCTTGAACTCCTGATCCTCCTGCCTTAACCTCGGGAATGTTGGGATGACAGGCATGAGCTACTACCAAGCCCGGCTTTGCCTAATTTTTGGTTTTGTTTTGTTAGAGACAGTCTCACTTTGTAACCCTGGCGGGCCTGGAACTGAGATCTGCCTGCCTCTACCTGCTGATTAGCGTGTGTTACTATGCCTTGCTTATTTATAATTGTTAACGCACATGAATATAAAATACATTTTTGGATTTATTTTTATTTATTTATTTATTGCTTTTTGAGACAAGGTCTCCCTGTAGCCCTAGCTGAACTAGACCAGGCTGGCCTCGATCTCTGAGGTCCACCTGCCTCTGCCTCCCAAGGGTTGGGATTAAAGGCCTATGCCAACGCACGCGGTCGAAATCCCATTTAATAGCACTCTGGCTAGGTGCATTTTGGGGAGTCAATTTTGACGCAAGTGAGTAATATCTGCCTGTATTACTGCCCTTGTCCTCCAGGAAAGCGCACTCAAAACACCGTGTAAGAAAATGCAAATGACATGCAAATGAGCATAGCCAGGGCCCAATGAGAACAGCCAGGACCCAAGGGTCCTTTTCAGTCAGGCGTGCTGTGGACAATCCAGGCGCCTCAGGGGCTTCAGGCTCAAGATAGCGAGGCTGTACCTGCGAAAATCCGCCGCCGAAAGCTTCCCAGTGGCCACAGGAAGAGACGATCTCTTTCTCTAGAGCTCCTCATGACCTAGACTTCGGGTCTTCTGTCCTCCACATTCCCTCAAAACTCGATATTGCTGATCAGGCGCGCCTCGGGCAGCTCTTCCCGGCGTCCCTAGCGGCAGCGTCCCGGGAGCCTCTGAGGGGCCTCGGAGCAAGATGGCGGCAGCGGCGGGGTCCGAGCGGCGCGGGCGGCGGCCTCGGCGGCGTGTGTGAGGAGGGGTCCCGGGGTCCCGGGTGGCTCCGGGCCGGGGCCCCGCTGTGGGACGGATCATGCTACGTTCCACTGGCTTCTTCCGCGCCATCGATTGCCCTTACTGGGCGGGATCCCCCGGGGGGCCTTGCCGGCGTCCCTACTGCCACTTCCGGCACCGCGGAGCTCGGGGTCCGGGCGCGTCCGGCGGCGGTGCCGCGCCCGCAGCAGGTAACGCCGGCGCGACCGCACGGGGTTCCCCAGCGACCCAACGGTGCAGCACCGTTTCCCCGCGCACACCCCCCTCACAGTGCACTGTCCCTCCCCTCGCCGCCATAGCGATGCTGTGCAACCGCATCAGGCCTTTCTGATCCCAGTGCGAGACATAAATCCGAACACTGCTGAGTGAGACACGGTGCAGGCTGCGTGGGGCTTCGTGCAGCCGGACCTCTTGCCTCTGGTCCTCCGCGTCTGCTTTGTTCTGGACGGAATGTCATTTCCCCTCGTCACCGTGCTTCCGACCCTACGCAATTTGTGGCACACTTTATGATCGTGACACTTTCCCCCCGGGCACGGCCGCCGCTGTTAACAGTAGTTGTATGCACAAATTCTTAGGGGCACCTGCTGTGTTTCAGGCTGTAAACCCTCTTAGCTGGGACAGTGTATGGAGCATGTCTCAGTGGTCGCTGTGATGGCAGCCTTTGGTGGGAGGCTCTTAGGGATCAGGCAGGTTTTTTTGTAGGAGCCTTGAGGGTTTTCTTAGCGTTTGTCTTGTCTTGTTTTGTTATTTTTACTTTATGTGTGAGTGTATTACCTGCATGTGTGTAAGTGCACCCGTGTCCCGCAATGCATCGAATCAGAAGAGGGCATCGGATCCCTTGGAACTGGAATTTACAAACAGCTGTTAGCTGCCATATGGGTACTGGGAATCGAACCCGGGTCCTCTGTAAGAGCAGCCAGTGTTCTTAACGGCTGAGCTACCTCTCCAGCCCCTTATTTAAACATTTTTTAAAAATTATTTTTATGGGGCTGGAGAGATGGCTCAGTGGCTAAGAGCACCGACTGCTCTTGCAGAGGACCTGGGTTTGATTCCCAGCACCCACATGGCGGCTACAAACTGTCCTTAACTCCAGTTCCAGAGGACTCTGAAGTCCTGTTCTGACTGCTACAGTATTGTATGACACAGGTGCACCTATAAACATGCAAACAATACCCTCATACACAGAAAATAATAATAAAATATTTTTTAAAAAAATTATTTTTATTTTATAATGTATGAGTGTTTTGCCTGCATATATGTAAATGTATCATATGTGTAATGCCCAAGGAGGATATCAGATTCCTTGGAACTGGAATTAAGGATTGTTGTTAGCCTCCATGTGGATGCTGGGAACTGAACTGGGTCCTCTGCAAGTGCAGCCAATGCTCTTAACCTTAACCACTGAACCAGCTCTCCAGTCCCCATTTGTCCTGGTTTTGACACAGGGTCTCACTGTGTAGCCCAGGGTAGTTTGGGACTCAGGATTCTCATTCCTCAGCTTATCTACACCATGATGGGATGACAGGTGTCTGTCACTATGCCTAGCAACTCTGAGAATTTTGATTGGATTAAAAGAGAGATTGCTAGGCTGGAGAGGCAGTTCCAGAAGATCTGACGCCCTCTTCTGGTCTCTGAAGGCATTGCACGACACAGGTGCATTTATATGCAGGCTGGCAAACACTCATTCACATAAAAATAAGATATTGCATTGCATGGTGGTACATGCCTTTAATCCCAGCACTTGGCAGGCCAATCTCTGTGCGTTCAAGGCCAGCCTGGTTTACAGAGTGACACCCTGTCACAAACAGAGTTTGCCAGGAAAAGACAAAATAGAGACCTGTTTAGATCTCTCTAGTGTATGAGTGTATTGTGTACATGTATGTAAGTGCACCCGTGTGTGTCATGCCTGAGGAGGCCAGAAGACTGCATCAGATCTTCCAGAACTGGAGTTACAGAATGTTGTTATCTGCCGTGTGGATGCTGGGAACCCAGTCTAGGCCCTCTGCAAGAGCAACCAGTGCTCATAACCACTGAGTCAGCTCTCCAGCTGCCTAGACCTCTCTAGTGACTTCTGTTTCATCAGGCCTTGATTTCTTTTTTTATTTTTTGGAGACAGATTTCATGTAGCCCAGGCTGGCCTCAAGCTCCCTATGTAGCCAAGGCTGGCCTTGAACTTTCTCCTGTTGGAATGACAGAGACAGGGAGAACTTTTAAATTTGTTCCAGACCAGCTGGGGCTACAGGGAGACCCTGTCTCAAAAAAAGACACCCCCCCCCAATTTTTTTTTTTTAATCTTGTGGGGATGGAACCCAGGGAGAAGCCTGGTCCAGCAGTTCCCACTCTAGGGCCTCTCTGTGCGTCTCCTCGGTGCTCCCCCACAGCCCTGTAAGGAGACCAGGTGATCTCCTGCTGTGCCCTGAGCCTCTCCTGCCCCGGGTTTAGACAAGGCCCAAGTAGCCCAGTTTGGTGGTGTTCCTTGGCCTCTGTGCAGTGGCCCTCCATGGCTTTTTATGTGCTCAAAGCACACCCATGGGAAGGAAATCCTTGTGTAGCTGGCCATGAGGGTTTTCTTCTGGGGGACTGGGCATTGGCTTCAGAGCTGCAGGTGTCCTGGGGATAGCCAGCCCTGGAGCCCTTCTCACCAGGCCTGTGCTCAGGTGTCAGGTATGGTGACCCTGTGGGGGAAACTGAGGTTGAGGGAGGAAGCAATGTCAATTGCAACTGTAAGCTACTCAAGGGCTACACAGTCCTTCCGGGGAGCAGTGGCCAGTGGGTAGGGTTGGACTTGGGGATGGGCATTGTCCATCTCTGACTCTGATGGGTCATGGCTCAGAGGATAGTGGCTATCTTGAGCCGGAGGACTTGAGCAGCAGGGTTTTTCTCAGGGCTCCTGTTTGTGACCTTGCAGTTGTTTGGGTTTGCATGGAGAGATCTGCTTAGGGGCCCTCACAGAACCCAGCACCCTGGCTGTCCCTAATCTGCTGCTGTCCCCACTAGGGAGGCAGTGTGAGAGGTACAGCAATGAGAACTGGGATGTCAGGGCTGAGAGGCACCATTCTCTCAGAGGCCCCCACAGTGTAGGGCCCTGGGTGACAGGAATTGGGGAATGGTGGTTCAGTGTGAGGCCCAGGTCTGGGGTACACAGGTAGGCAGTAGTTTTGTCCCAGATTGTCTTGTGTGGGGCTGTGGACAGCATGGGTGCCAAGAGGGAGTCCAGGGCAGCAGCTCTGGAGCCTTCTAGAAGGAATAGGGTTTATCAAAGATGAGGAGGAGAGGGATGGGAAAGGGATGGCAGCCAGGTTGGGCGACCAGGTCAGTTCCCCATGTAGGCACAACACCCCTGACTGGGGTCAGGGGGCCTGCTCACCTCCCCCGACCTGCCTCCCCATACCACTGTACCTTGTCATCACCCTGTGTCCTGTTCAGGTTAGGTCAGATGCTCTCCTGGGGTCCCAGAGGACCCGGGGACTCTGGTGTGCACAGGGAGACTCTAGGGATGACTTTCCTTTGTGAGCGGCCTGGGGACACCGCTGCCTGTGCAACCCCTTGTACTCTCCCCTCTTTGGGCAGATATTTCTCCACCAGGTGCCAGCAGGGGGTGCTGCAGATCACAGCATCTGACCATGGAGGGAAAGTGGGCACCATGGACCTGGTGGAGCATCTGCATCAGAGGGTAGGATGAGGTGCGGTACCCCTGGGATTCCCCTGCTTGGAGACTGTAGCGTCCCACTGAGCCCTGTAGGAAGCATCTGGTTATTGCAGTTCAAGGCCACCTGGCTGGTGGTGGGCAGCTGGACCACCATCCTGTTGTTCCTGTTGGAAAAGGGAGGCAGATGGGTGCCCAGGCCACTCCCTGCTGTCCTCAGCTGACTTAGATCTCCTTGAGGGTTCAGCAGAGTCCCCAGGTTGTCACTTTGCATTTGTCTGCATCTGCAGCTGGCCACAGTTCTCTTCTTCCTGGTCACTTTCTCCCTCAGTGACTCTTCAGCTAGGTACTGCTGTTTTCTCTGGCCACCCTGTACTTGGCCCTCCTGACTTGGTTTGGTGGCCTGTCCACCCTGGTACTTATTTTCTGGTTTCTTTTTGTTTTATGTGTATGAGCGTATTGCCTACATGTTTTATGTGTATGAGCGTATTGCCTACATGTATGTGAGTGTACCTGTGTCGTGCAATGCCTGCAGAGGTCAGAAGATGGTGTCCAATCCCCTGGAACTAGAATTAAGGATGGTATGTAGCCACCATGTGGGTGCTAGGAACTGAACCTGGGTTCTCTGCAAGAGCAGCCAGTGCTCTTAGCCACTGAGCCATCTCTCCAGCACTGACCCTGGTACTTTTTAAGTGAGGCCTGTGCACGAAGGGGATTAGCTAGAGTGGGCCTGTACCCCTGAGCTGTGTCTCAGGACCTGTGTGGCCATCCTGCCCAGGGCAGCTCCTGGTATATACTGGGTAGAGGCCAGGGACATAGCTCAGTACCCCAGGAGCATCTAGGCTTGAGGGAGTCTGCTCAACCTGGACACTCATTGGGACAACCATGCTGTTGGGAGGAGCTCAGGGGACCCGCGTGGTGCCTGAGTGCCCCTTCCCCCAGCCTGGCAGTGTTTCTGTTCTAGGTGCCGCCAGGCAGCCCACAGTGGGCAGAGGACCCCGAGGCACAGGCACAACGGATTCCACCTGTGCCAGACTCTGTCCACCGTTGCCTCCTGGTGCTTTGAGGGGCATGCAGGGTATTTGACTGCTCAGGCCTCGTCTTGGGAGATGTCTCTGCTTGGGAGGGGGACTAGCTACCTTTGTGCTCCATGCTGGTCTTGAGCACTGTGGAAATTGGGAGCATGCGCCAGCCATTTTAGGGTGACATCCTTGGGTCCTATAGCACCCCAGTATTCTCTCAAAGCAGCCATCTCTAAGGGCAGGGTTCTACCCCATGACTGTATGGGAGTGGGGTGGGGATGAAGGACATGGCTCTCTAGGAGACCCTGGGTGGCAGTAGCCTGGCTATATGACCCTGGGCCTCCCAAAGGCCATTCTAGACCCAGTGTACCCCCTGGACCTCAAGGGAACAGAGATAGGTGGGTGAGTGGTACCTGCTCCCTCTGGATTCCAGGAAAGAGCAGCTGGGGACTGAGGGGAGGTGGGCTCAGGCTTTGTAGGATCAAGTTTGTCTGGTGGTGGGAATGGGGGTGAGAGGGTGCAC